GTTGAAGCTACTGCTCAGGGAATTGCATCAATGCTTTGTGCACATGGCCCCGAGGTTGAATGGAGAATATGCACGATATGGGAAGCTGCTTATGGCTTGATTCCTCTAAGTTCCTCTGCAGTTGATCTTCCTGAAATCATTGTTGCGACCCCTCTGCAGCCTCCTATATTATCATGGAATTTGTTCATACCTCTCCTTAAAGTACTTGAGTTTCTTCCTCGTGGAAGTCCATCTGAAACTTGTCTTATGAAGATATTTGTTGCTACTGTTGAAGCAATTCTCCAGAGAACATTTCCACCAGAATCCTCAAGAGAACAAATCAGAAAAACCAGATATTCATTTGGGTCTGCCTCCAAAAATCTTGCTGTGGCCGAGCTTCGCACGATGGTCCACTCACTGTTCTTAGAGTCATCTGCCACTGTGGAACTTGCCTCTCGCCTTCTTTTTGTTGTATTAACTGTCTGTGTCAGTCACGAAGCGCAGCTAAATGTGAGTAAGCGACCCAAAGGTGAACGTTGTCGTCATTCCCACAAAGTAGATGCAGATTCACAAGGAGCCACTAGAAAGCAAAAGGACAGGGGAAGTAAACAAGGGAAGAAACAAGGGCCTGTGGCAGCATTTGATTCTTATGTTGTTGCTGCCGTTTGTGCTCTATCCTGGGAACTCCAGCTTTTTCCTTTGATTTCCAAAGGGAGTAATTACTCTGATCCCAAAACTATATCTAATATGGCAAAGCCTGCGGAAATAATTGGATCGCCCAGCGAGTTAAGGAATGGCATTGACTCTGCAGTTTATCATACTCGCCGGATATTGGCTATTCTAGAGGCACTTTTTTCTTTGAAGCCATCTTCTATTGGCACGTCATGGAGTTACAGTTCAAATGAAATTGTGGCTGCAGCAATGGTTGCTGCTCATGTTTCTGATCTGTTTAGACATTCAAAGGCTTGCATGCGTGCTCTTTCTATCTTGATAAGATGCAAATGGGACAACGAAATTCACTCAAGGGCATCTTCACTTTTTAACCTAATTGATATTCATAGCAAAGTTGTAGCATCCATTATCACCAAAGCAGAGCCACTGGAAGCACAAATACTGCATATGCCATTATTGAAGGGGATTCCTTCTTCTTTCCATGAAGAAAAACATAATACATGCTCTAGCAGTAGCCACCTAGAATCAGGGAAGCAATCGTCAATGCAGTCAACTAACTTGCCTGGTTCAAAGGCTTTACTGAACTGCGAGAAGCCTTCCCGTTCCAGTGAAGTTGAAAAGGTTCCAGTGGGAAAAGAATTTGCAAGTTTTCCAACAGATGCTTCAGATTTGGCCAACTTTTTGACAATGGACAGGCATATAGGTTTTAATTGCTGTGCTCAAGTTCTTCTTAGGTCTGTACTGGCAGAAAAACAAGAATTGTGTTTTTCTGTTGTTTCATTGCTTTGGCACAAGTTGATAGCTTCACCTGAAACACAGCCAAGTGCTGAAAGCACCTCAGCCCAGCAAGGATGGAGGCAGGTAATCTGTCAAATTCTCTATGTCAATTTTCAGCTTTACTAATCATATTTTAAGTAACACAATATGCATATAGTAAGATTTAACATTACTTGTATTCTATTCTGCTGCTCTCTGTGAAGTTCATGTATCAAAAGCCTGACCATCTTAGCTAGCTTCCCTTGCTTTATTCACTATTGGTTCTTGATATTTTCCTTTTCCATTCCTTTTCAACTTATTAGTTGAGATATTATACCTCTGCAACAGATAGTGAATATGTTGATTATGTTCACTAGCGTCAGTAGACAGTAAATAAATGGATGCAATGCATGATTTCAGAGGACTCCAATCTATGGAAAGACATAACTAATTTTGTTCTGTAACTATAGGTGGTTGATGCATTATGCAATGTTGTAGCGGCATCACCAGCGAAAGCTGCGACAGCTATCATTCTCCAGGTCCAGAATACTCAACGAGTTTGTTAACTTCAATTTCGACTATTTTTACCATATTTTTTATTATGGGACGCGAAAGAGCTTGAAAAATCATTTCGTCCTTTGGTTTTAAGAAAATATGGATTAATGATTTCGTTAGGTTAAATGGCATTAGTGAGTTATATTTTAAGTGCCTAAATGTCAGTCTTCCGATTATGGTTTAGTTTGATTTCAGTTTCTGTCATTTTGTCACATCCATTGTTGTGTGTATTTGTCAGGCTGATAGGGAAATGAAGCCTTGGGTTACTAAAGATGATGAACTTGGTCAAAAGATGTGGAGGATTAACGAACGAATTGTGAAACTGATTGTGGAGGTAATGAGAAATCATGAAGCCCTTGAATCACTGGTTATTCTGGCTAGTGCATCGGACCTCCTCCTACGAGCCACAGATGGACTGCTCATTGATGGAGGGGCATGCACTTCACCGCAGCTGGAGGTAACTTTTTAGATTAGTATCATCCTTTTTACTTTATATCTACCATGAAATCTGTGTGCGACCAGGTTAACCATTTTAAGCGTTCTCCTTAGTGTGTTTCTTGGAAAATATACTTTTATTTTGGTATTTGATGAATGAATCTCTATTTTCTATTGCTTTTGTAAATTAATAACAAGATTACACGCAAAATGTTGGACAGCTATTGGAAGTTACAGCTAGAGCAGTTCAACCAGTGCTTGGGTTGGGAGAATCGGGGCTAGCGGTTGCTGATGGCCTCTTAAACTTGTTAAAGGTATAAAATTTCTGTAATTAACACGTTCAATGATATGCCAAAAAGTTTTAGGAACAGAAGCTGTTGTGAACTTTCAACTGAGGGGTTTCTTATTTGGCGAAGGCTCGTCTCACTGGGATCCACAATAAATCCTTTTCGTGTCATATGATGTTATGTCCCCACATGAAACCTTCAGAATAAGTATGCATATACATGCATACTTGTATATATATAGTAAAACCTTGATAAATGTTCAATAAATTAATAACCTCATTTAAATAATAAAATTTCCTAATCTTGACTCGGGCCACCGTACTCAAACCGAACTCAACTCATCCCTAATTTTTTTGCAATGCATACACACGTTTGGCATACTTTCCATTTCTAGTAAGTAATTCATAAAAATTAGAATGCTTGAAATGCTTCTTTTGGAGAAATTGGTAGAACACATCTATTATCTGAATTATGATCATCTTCGGTGAACGTATTTAGTACTCCTTGAATAATTTCTTTGCCAGTAATCTCCTCACATGATCTATCGATAAATGAATAATTTATTTATTTATCAATGAACTTCTAACTCTAAAATAAAAGTTTCTCGGTCCCAACATTATTATTTTATAGAGGTGTTACTTTATTTTGTGAAATGGAATCTCATTTTCCCTGATGAGGAGGTGATGCATCGTGATGAATATAATGAATGCTGTGGTACATATTGCAACTCTTGACTGTACAATTTAAAATGGAAGCCGACTAATATGGTTTATCTGGGATTAATATATGCAGTGTCGCCTCCCAGCTACAGTTCGTTGCATTTCTCATCCAAGTGCGCATCTCCGTGCTCTCAGCACATCAGTTCTTCGTGCTATTTTACATGCTAGTTCACTAAAATCAAGTAGCGAACAAGTGGATAGAAGTGGCATTTGCAGTCCATATCAGTATCTAAATGTAAGCATTACCAATTGGCAAGCAGATATTGAAAAGTGTTTGATATGGGAATCCCGAAGCCGTCTAGCAACTGGCCTGCCTGTCCAATTTGTTGGTTCTGCCGCAAAGGAATTAGGCTTCACTATACCCGTTTTGTAACTACCCTAACACATGGCGACCCCATAAGGTTTGTGTTATGAATTACATAACTGGTTTGTTAGCAGAGTCTACATACCTGCAGGAGATTATGATTCATGTATAGTGAATTCTTGGACCACGTCTTTTTGCTTGCTCTTCTTTGATTTATTTGGAAGTCTTGAATTTGATTCCAAGTAGATGTATAATGGTACCAATATTTGTCAGATGTTGAAGTGTGGATCTGATTTGGGTATTTACCACTTAAATTCTCATGTAACTATACTTTTCTTTATTTCCTCCAGTCCCATTGCTCTTTTCGTATGGTTGTCGTATGGTTGAAATGGTGACAAATCTTTATGATATTAATAGTGGCAATACGTCACTGGCATGCTTCTTATACGGTAGGAATGGACAGTAAGCACGTAGGATAAGCTTTTAGCTTCATTTTATTTAGCAACACTGTCCACAGAAATGATCTCCTACCCATGTTGGGTAGGAATTATCGTCCACCGCTGACGTGGCAACATTAAATATTCAAAAATTGTAGGCTTGATCCTTGATGCCCACGTTAACAGTTGGCATGTTTTATCTTATCAACCATTGGTAGGAGATCATTTCTAATACTGTCCAAATACCAAATGCGGTAAATGGAGAAAGTGAGGGGTGAACTGTCTCTCTATGCCTGACAGCAGAACTAAAGTGTGCATTAAAACAATAAAATCCCCTTTAGCATTTTGGGGGATAAGAGAGCTTTTCAGATTTATAGTTCGTTCTTTTGTTTGAATCGACAAAATCTTAGGATGTAGAATAAGCGTGTCAGCTGGGGAAAGTTGGTCTTCGAAGATGGATCTCGTCTGATGTTTTTTTGTAATGAGTTGTAATTCTCTCAATTCGAAGACAAAACTTGTACAATAAATTTAATGATTGAATTATCTTACCAAATCAATGGCACATTCAAACAAAGGAACCAAAATATTGCAGCAGATAATCTTGTAAAATTGAGAAAATATAACGTCAATCCTGAAAAGCGAGGAAAATTACAGTATTATAGGAGATTTTCCTTGAAAGATTGCAACACTTACGAACTATGTTCAAGATAATGTCTAAATAACTACTTGTACTTAACTCGTTCTGTAAACAAGTTAATTAAAAAAGATCGAGCACCAATGCAATGTCAGTTTATTAAAAGATCCAAGCACATAAATAGAAGGTGCAAGAAATAATAAGAAGTAAATTATCACTACGTTTATGACTAAGAAACTTAAAAATGAGTTATTAAGGCCTTGTCACAATATATCCATCCACTTCAAAGAAATTAAATTAAGAAAAATGTATAAAAAAATCACTAGAAAACTGATTTTTGACAAATATATCTCAAGTCCAATGATAAAAAATTTCCTGGTATCATCTATCGTTTGTATGTTAAACTTGAGGTGCAAGAATGTTTAGACCTTTTCATCAACTTCTGAAGGTTCTGATAGTCCATGCTTTTGCTGGCTGCTTCTGGAAATTGAATGACTTCGTCGTTCCTTCCCTCCGGGTTTTGACGAGGCTTTTCCATACAAAATCATTCCAAAAACGGCAATGATCATGCCAAAAACGACTTGTAAATTAAGGCCTTCTCTCCCGAAAAATAAGAATCCAAGGATCAGTACAAGGATGGTCTTCATATGACCTAGAACTTGGAATGAGACAGCAGTAAATCTGCCAATGCAGATGAACTGACTAAGGTTAGTCCCCACGGCAATAGTGCACGAAAGGATTATGAACACCTGCAGGAGCCAATGGAAGGAGAGCAGTGAGAGATTATATATGCGAAACAATGACACTTCGTAATGTCTTGAGAAACCAAGCAGATGTCGATACAGAAAATTGGACGATTTTCCTCAATGCTCTAAGTTTATAAGATGCTACAATTATTTGATTTGTCTCTCTAGAAAGAGGTGAAAGAATATTACAAAAATTTCAAAAAGAATTATATTGTGCAATAGAAATATATCAAATATGTTTAAAACGAGTATATATCTGGTAGATCTACCATCTTCACACGGTTACTACTTAATTTTAGTCAATTAGTTTTTAAAGACTAAAGAGGATGCAGCCCATAGAATTTGAGAGGGAAAATACAAGATGCTAAGCATTATTTCGAATATAAGATTGAGATGGGTTATATAAATCCTTTTTCGATGCCCCCATTTGGTCATTGCTACATATATTATTGGAAGATCCAACGTACTAACCATAATAGGCATGTTAATTTTGATCACGTCTTCCTCTTCTAACATGGTCTATTGGGACAGCATTACCCTGTGAAGGAGCTTCCTTAGATGTATGCAATACATACCCCCTTCCACCCCAACCACCTTAGTCGTCCTTCCCTTAATTTATCCTTAATGACGGGCAGTTTACTTTGACTAGTACGGAATCACATCCATCTTACCATCTTCATTTCTGGTAATTTTAATTCTACTTACCCTAAAACCTTCGTATCTAAAGTGTTCCTTCAAAGTTTTAATCTACAATTTAACCCTCTTCCAGTTTCATACTAAACTATGTCCCCGTGAATAATATACACGAAGGTACCTCATCTTCGATGTGTCTACTAAGCAGTATTCCCCACCCTAACAAAAAAGGAAAAATAAATAAATAATCTAAATTCCTCTTACAAATGTGAGACTAAACAATTGCTTTTCTATAATAATCGGGCAAAGGATACTGTTGTAGCTTATGCCTAACCTGTTAAAATTAATTTGCAAGCTTCAATAAAATGGGAATTTTTTTAAGAATAATTACAACATTAAAGATGACTTCGGAAAAATAGAAGTCTCAACATTGGAAGATGGCCTTGGTTATCAGCAAGTCATGCAAGTTAATACACTTTGACTTTTTGATTCACAAGAACTCTTCTAGAGTGTCTCTCGTACATTATATAAAGAGTTGAGATTGTAGTGTTGAATCATTAGAGTGAAGTGAGCAAAACAAATCAGTTTAAATAGAGCGTGCAGGAACAAATTTTTTATCAATATTCAAATTTCATAATTATAATTCAGATTCCAATCATTATCTATTTTCGGCACTCAACAAACAAAGGTGCCAAAAAAATAGTGATACATTGAATTTCAGTTATGGAAATTTGGAGGAGAGCGATAAAAGAGCTGCTACTGCATATAATTTTTGCTGATATATTTTCTCGAGCACTTTCCTCTTCACCATTCAGTCTAATTACAACTTCTTCATATAAAGAACATGGGAAAGTTCTAGATGCTTTGGTTTACAGCTAGTTAAAAACTGACGATTCTACACTAGTTTTTTTCCAAAGCCAACTTCTTGTTTTTCAAAGCTAAGACTTCGTCTTCCAAAGCCATCTTTTAATATAATGGTCTTTAACAATTACAAGCTTCTCAAGATTTCCAATTTAACATTTAAGACCTATAAAGCGCATGAAGTGTATGTCCTTTTAGGGTGAATGGTGATATTGCTCATAGTGTATTTGATTGCACATCCTTCAGTCATTATATAAATTATCTTATTCAATAACCATTCTACTAACCAAATACTGTTTTCTTGTGTGGGATGGATTTTCCATTTTTGCTTTATTTCTTCTTTCTTATTTTCTATTATTTTTGGGTGGGAAGGTGTGGTGTGGGTTAGGAGGGGTAGCACCAATGCACGGAATTCATAAATTAACAAGAATCAGATATCAAGATTTGCCATATTCTGAAATACAATGTTAAAAAATAAGAACAAAAAAAATATGACGATATCGTGCAGATACACTTACCATGGACGGTATATTAAAGTCAAAGGCATCAACCCTTTTGTTAGTCAACCAATAATCCAGAAAGGGACCTAACAGCAGCAGAGATGCAGCCTGTACTGGTGCAGTGTGTCCCAACAGATTGAAGGAACTAAGCGAATAGTTACGTTGTAAGTAATGAACATACTGCATATACAAACCCGGAGTTACAGAACCATCTCTGGAGCTTGCAACAGAATATTAGAAAGCAAAACACAATCGAGAACCTCCACATTGTATATAACAAAATAGGACTACATTCAGGCCAAACAGAATATTTATTTTCTTTCCAACAAGTAATGAACACAGCAGATCTTGTCAAGGTCTATTTCAGTCAAATTCTTCAGTGATGGCAATAGAATATCTCATCTCACTAGGTCAAAACGTTTACAGGAATGGATAACTTACATACTGTTGAAGAGAGGTACTCCAGACTGCAATAAATGCAGCAATGAACCCTTTTGCATTAACACTAACATCTGTCACTGTGCAGACAGCAACCCCAAGGAGAACAACCACAATACCAAGCTTTGTATCTCTCGAATATCGGATCTTGTCGAACACAACTTCTAATAAGCAGGACACAGGGATCATACTCAGCTTTGCAATCTGAATTCATATTGGAGATAATAATATCTTAAAAAACTGTAAATATTTGGAAGAAGACAGCAAGATTGAAGGGCATCAAAATTACCTGATAGAATCCCACTGAATTCCACATTAGACTGACATTCATCCCAACAATAGAAAAATTTGCAAATAAGACAAACTTGAGAAGCTCTGGAAGAGGTAGATGAGAAGGTTGTATGTATCCCAGCCATCTAAGAACAACCGTCATCAAGGTTGTGGTAGCAAAATGCAAACCAGTTAACGTTGTAGCTGCAACGATTGTAATAATCAAAAAGCAGTAAACCCTAAAAATGGTTACGAGGATTGGGATAGGTTAAAAAATAATATTGATTACAGCCAAGCAAGATAAAACAATAAAGCAATTAAAAGAAAAATATGACAGAATGAAGTCCTCTATAGTTGTTATATTTACATTATCATCAAAAATGAAACTAACAAAGATTATCTTCAGATTGGGTGACCAATGGATCAACTTATCATCCTATCAATATCCTTCCCCCTGACTCCGAACCTCACCCCCTACAGACAAATCCCTACAATTTGACATCAACAAAATCACGATGGATCTATTGCTTCACATAGTAATGTCACACATTAAATTTCCCCTAGGCTCCATTAACACCTTACCCAAACCCTAAGTTGAAATCTGCTATCCAATTTTTACTGTACAATAATTCAATCTGCCGTCTACCCAATTAATTATTGACTCATCATTTCGTGAGAGGGGGATTGTATTTAATAGTGTTAAATAATTGTTAAAGTGGGAAATTAAAATTGATGGCACGTTAATTTAAAATGATATGTCAACAATTCATTGGGTATACAGCAAATTGGACATCAAAGGTTGGAAAACATATCTCAATTCACCCGGTGTATGTTTGTATTTGGGTTACTCTACTTTCCAACTAAATGTGATGGCTCCCTTTTTCTCTTCACCTTGCAACTCCAACATCATCAATCTCATAATACATAGAACTCTATTAAGCCATTTGGCAGAATGAGGTTGTGGCTTTGGAATTGAAACTATCAACAATTTTATTCAAATACAAATTGATTTTTCATGAATTTCAATTCTAGGCATCTGCTCCTCAAACAGTCAAGAATTCTGAACTGTTAATTCTAGTGAAGTATGGCTCCACAAAATCTCCTTTTATTATTGTAACAATTTCTTTAAGTGAGATTTTCAGCATCACAACAGACAAAAGGTTGAAAAATCAACCGAAAGCTAGGATCTGAAAACCATATTTGGTATTCCTGGTCTTCCATCAATTTTACCACGGACAAAAGGTAAGTAATGTTAACTTCTTTAAGACAGAAGTGTTGAAACTTGATACTTGTGAGACCACAATATTTATAGTCATATAATAAGCAGCTCATATTATTGAAAACATTTCTCTCATTTCAATAAGCATGTCCTTACAAGTAGATCATGTATCACAAGATATGAATATTACAGACAGTAACAAGTACTACTCTAGTTTGATCAAATGTAAGGCAAATAAATTTTCAAATAAAATGTATGATAAGTTCTTCAAAAACATCTAAGAACAACCGTCATCAAGGTTGTGGTAGCAAAATGCAAACCAGTTAACGTTGTAGCTGCAACGATTGTAATAATCAAAAGGCAGTAAACCCTAAAAATGGTTACGAGGATTGGGATAGATTAAAAAATAATATTGATTACAACCAAGCAAGATAAAACAATAAAGCAATTAAAAGAAAAATGTAACAGAATGAAGTCCTCTATAGTTGCTATATTTACATTATCATCAAAAATGAAACTAACAAAGATTATCTTCAGATTGGGTGACCAATGAGATCAACTTATCATCCTATCAATATCCTTCCCCCTGACTCCGAACCTCACCCCCTCCAAACAAATCCCTACAATTTGACATCAACAAAATCACGATGGATCTATTGCTTCACATAGTAATGTCACACATTAAATTTCCCCTAGGTTCCATTAACACCTTACCCAAACCCTGAGTTGAGATCTACTATCCAATTTTTACTGTACAATAATTCAATCTGCCGTCTACCCAATTAATTATTGACTCATCATTTCGTGAGAGGGGGAATGTATTCAATAGTGTTAAATAGTTGTTAAAGTGGGAAATTAAAATTGATGGCATGTTAATTTAAAATGATATGTCAACAATTAATTGGGTATATAGCAAATTGGACATCAAAGATTGGATAGTAGATCTCAATTTACCCTGTGTATGTTTGTATTTAGGTTACTCTACTTTCCAACTAAATGTGATGGCTCCCTTTTTCTCTTCACCTTGCAACTCCAACATCATCAATCTCATAATACACAGAACTCTATTAAGCTGCATTTGGCAGAATGAGGTTGTGGCTTTGGAATTGAAACTATCAACAATTTTATTCAAATACAAATTGATTTTTCATGAATTTCAATTCTAGGCATCTGCTCCTCAAACAGTCAAGAATTCTGATCTCTTAATTCTAGTGAAGTATGGCTCCACAAAATCTCCTTTTATTATTGTGACAATTTCTTTAAGTGAGATTTTCAGCATCACAACAGGGAAAAGGTTGAAAAATCAACCGAAAGCTAGGATCTGAACACCATATTTGGTATTCCTGGTCTTCCATCAATTTTACCACGGACAAAAGGTAAGTAATGTTAACTTCTTTAAGCACCCGTTGGCCCCCATTAAATTATATTTCATTTCATTCTATTTTTCTCTATCCTATTTTCAACCACACAATCTTTCATAAAATAATATTACACGTAAATCGAAAACTTTTACTTCTTTTTCAACCACTCATTTTTCAAAGAAATGCTATTCCACTCATTTTCATTTCCAGAAAATGGGGGCCAAACGGGGGCTAAGACAGAAGTGTTGAAACTTGATACTTCTGAGGACCAAAATATTTATAGTCATATAATAAATAGATCGTATTATTGAAAACATTTCTCTCATTTCAATAAGCATGTCCTTACAAGTAGATCAAGTATCACAAGATATGAATATTACAGACAGTAAAAAGTACCACTCTAGTTTGATCATATATAAGGCAAATAAATTTTCAAATAAAATGTATGATAAGAAGTTCAAAAATTAAATTCTCCTTCCATCAGGACAAGAAATTTACCAAAGCTGAAGCCATAAGTAGCCATTAACGCCTTATTGACAATGATGATACCAACTGAAGTGACTACATTAAACATCCATGCTGCTGCATCAACTGCAGCCTTCTTCTCAGCTTTGCTTGAAGGAGCCATTATCCTTTTTTATTTCTACAGAACTGTCTACAGTTTATTTTTCACTCTTCCACACCATAAAGCTAAATTCACACTTTCGCTTCAAGTTTCCTGCACAAGCCCCATTAAGAACCGAACCAATTAGCCAGATAGTAAATTTTCCATTCAACAATTTCAACACTAATCGCAAAAAGTAATTGACAATTAAGTTGTGAAATAAATGAGGCACTGCCTTGAGGGATAAAATTTTTTGGTCGAAATTAATGCTTGACTCGACAATGCTATAGTAATTAACAAAATATAGAAATTAAAAAAAAAACAAATTAAGGGAAAATGAACTTCTTAATCAAATTGATCAATTCTTCATGTCAATAGCACTCTAAATATGGAAACAAAAGGTTAGACGGCACATAATTTCGATAAAATTGAGGAAAATTTTCCATTGACCAGAAAATTTCCATACACTTCAATACCGAGCGGACCAAAACTCTTCCATATTTAATAACTTAACCAAAATTTACACTATTCCATTATCAGATCTAAAAAAAATCAGAAACCTCCATTTCTAAGATCTCATTTAATTCCGCAAATCTACTTCCACAACTCCACAAATTACAGATCTAGCCACGCACAAACTTTATTTCAACTCCAATGCTTAAATTAACATCAATTACATTGATAATCATTAACATTAATATGTTCGATTTTTGTTAGAAAAAACAATTGAGGAAAAATGAGTACCGCTGAGAAGTTTTAACGGAAATGAAAGTGATATTTGGCGTGATTTTCAGATCCTCAGAATCAGAGCTGCTTTATCTCTCTACAAGAATCAGTTAAACGTGATTTCATGTGAGTTTGTATGCATGTATTTATACGAATAAGTGCGTATTTACATACATATAATGTGTATATAACTATGTATAGAACTGAGAAGGGAAGGTTACAGTTAAAGGGAAGTTGCTTTTCTTGTTTCTTCAGCTACTATTTATTATTATTATTATTAAGGGAATTAAGAGGAATATTACAAAAAATGGAATATTTACGTAAAATTACAGTTCGGTCCCCAATAAATGGGTAACATATCCTCAATCTTTTATTTTGGAGTGCTGCTATATAAACAGGGCCACATGGTCCCTATTTTTCAGGGTATTTTGACGGTTGAGTCAATAACATTCTTTTAGTACTCGAGTCCCAATTAAAAGATAATTTTACCATTATATTTAGCCTCTGTTTGATGATTATTATAAAGGAAAATTGTGAAAAAAAAATGATGTTTTGAATAGTATTTTTTGAGAGAATGTGTGATTAAAAATTAGAAAAAAAGTTTTGAATTTGCGTTGTAAAAATATTTTAATACGTGAATATATAATTTAAAAAAAAGTATGAGAAATAAAGAAAGTAAAAAAGGAACTTAAATAAGGGAAGAAGGCGAGATATAAGTGATAAGAAAAATAAATAAATAAATAAATAAAATCAGTGAGAGTTTCTTTGATAGACTCTTTAAAAGTAACATGTTCTCTAAAATAAGGGTTAAAGATAAATAGTATGTTAGAGTATTTAAAAATTTCTGCTATAAATTTATAAATGTTATCTAAATTTATAAACTACAAAATGCTTCGTTCGTAGAACAAAGATAAATTTGCTTTCATATATGTGTGTGTATATATATATATATAACTCTTATGTTAAATAATGATTAAAATAGTAATAATTCATATTTGTTGATAAAAAGGTACCTTAAAATGTATATTAAAAATCATTCATCTTTTCAACAAAGAAAGGGATCTATAATTTAGAGAAGACGAAAAAAAGGTAAGTCTATCTTATGGGACGAAATGAGTATGCTCTTTAAAAATAAAAGTGTCTCATGATAATACTCTAAAGGGTTGGGGCTATTTTGAGAGGCTAAATAGGTTTTTATTTATTTATTAATTTATTTATAGGTTGTACTTGGTGTATATAATTTATGTACATAACGATATCCACACCCCTTACATTAAGTGGGACTAGTGTGAGGTGGCCCCACCCCATGTGAGGGGTATGAACACTCGTATGTACATAAATTATGTACACCAAAATTTTTTCCTTTAATTATTAGTTATTTAAACATAAGTGTAAATTTCACTTTTAAAAGATTTAAATTTAAAAAAAAAAAGTAAAATCGTAAAATGTTATTTAAAAAAAAAAAAAAAGGTGATTGGGGACTGATGTTACCATAATATTATGTTAGAGACCTACTCAATATATCTTCAATAAGTTGAGGGGTAAGCTTGAAAATTATGTCCAGGGCCTGGCCCAACTTCTAGCCCATGAAGAACGGCCCTTTAGGCTCGCAATCACAATCGGCTAATTTTGGAATTTTACCACGACTTTGTGCCCCTCTTTGGCTTATTCGTTGTGACAACGCCGCAATTGATAATAAATTCTGATTATTTATATGCTCTGAAACATTTTTGTTACGTGGTAGTTCTTGTGTAGTAGTTTGTTCGACGTATGTTCTTCTCAATACAAGATGAAGTTGTTATTAAAATTATAGTTTTTTCGACGTATGATTGTTAATATAAAAATTAAGTTGAAAATTTGTAACACAAATGATAAAAGTAACGACTAATATTAAAATATGTAACTGACTGCGTACGAGCTCAAATTGCATGGACTCGGGCTAAGATCACAAACAAAGCTTCTTATAACCTAAAGCAAAGGTCTGGGATGTTGACAATGGCTCTTGATGCTGAAGTGAGAACAATAATGAGCATGTGACTTATTTTTAAAACATTTTGCTGTGTAATCCTAAGAGGATTAGGACACATGTGGATGGTGGATAATTTGATGGACCTAGGGGTCATACGGACTCTTTGAGTTGTAATAGAAATTTTCTTTCTTGATTGAAGAGACTTTGATGGTATAGTCCAAGTAGGATTAGTGGACGGACCAAGGGTGCAGCACATAACCAATAGAGCGTGACGTCAAGGTCCCCTCCCATAAGACCTTTTTCGAGGTCCTCGAAGAAAGGTCGTTGCTGATCTATGATTATTTAATATGGACAGTATGACTAAGGATGAAACATGATCTATACGCATTTCTAAAGAAATCATGTATTAAGGTATTCATGATATCGATCTCTAGATAGGGACCCTCAAGTTTATGCCACTTTTCTCTAGAAGGTGGGATGTGAGCCCTGTGCACATGGAGTTCAAAGTTGAGGTTGGGGATGACCAAACTCTCAATAATTGCCTCATTGATTCGTAATAAATAATTAATATTGCAAATGTTGGTCTAGTGGCATTCATGGGCTCTCTCTATGTTCGTGGTGGCATGTTGAATTCCACCCACCACATTGTGCTAAAGAAAAGAGTATCAAATATTTAATCTTCACGTTTCCATCACCTACACAAAAGTTTAATACATTAATTAGAAACGTGCTATGCATTACGATTTAAGGAAAATAATAAATTTAAAGATAAAATAAAAATTAAAATGAAAGAAAATTCATCATCTCGAACCCACCCGCTAGCTGCCACCACAGTCACCACCAAGGAAGGAGTAATAACACTGGTATTTTTTTATTTGTTTTGTTTCTTTCTCCTCTTTTAATATTGATCTTCCTTTTATTCAAGATAGATGAGACATTGTTAACTTCACGGGCTATGTCAACTTTATATAAAATTGATTAGTGTAGTTTCTATACTTATTCGAGGGTCTAAATGATAGTATTTTGTTATTCTTTAGACGGATTATTGCTTAATTTGTTATTTATTACTTTTATTAGGAGAAACTCATATTTTGACGAAGAATTGAAAAAAGAACAGAGAATGGATAAAATAAAGTAAATTCAAAGTTTGGGGACTAAAATTTAAATACTCAAAAGTCGTGTCAGACCTCACGATGAAGTTTAGAGAGTGCCAGGGGTCAACTGGATGAGGAAAAAATTCAAAGTGATGAACTATTGCAAAAAGTAGTCTATGCATTAATTGAGGGAGAACCATACAAGGATTTTGAATATTCATAGCCCGATTTTATGATTTGAGCCAAGAGCGTAGATTTCTCATACTTCTTCTATCATTTTATTTTCGGGTGATGTTTTTCCAATAATTTTGTATAATTTAATTATAAGAACGTTTGGTTAAGGTCTTCATTGTATTGGATGAATGATAAACCATATTATTTGTTTATTTTTATTTAAAACAATTAGTTTAGTATTTATTGATTTTTCTTAGGTGGTTTTACGTTCCCATTGAATTGTTTGACTACTTGATCACCAATTAGATAATAAGTTGTTTGTTGTAATGTAGGAATATTCACAATAAATCTAAAACGCAGCAAAATAACACATGAGCAATATGTATTAGGAATAATACGTATGACATCCTGTAAATCAGTGCATGTTTTCATATGAATTTGGACTAGAAATAGGATGTGGTCGTCTTAAACATAAGTTTAATATATCTTGAAAATGAATATTAAATAAAAGTGGATTATCGATTATCTCGAATGCGTGAATTTACTAGATTACAAATTAAAAATTGATATTAAATGACAATAGGAGAATTCACGATTCCAGTACAAACATTTACATATTAGATAAATACTTTATTTGCTTTCTTAATTTAGGATTATTATTAAAAAGCATACAAACCATCTGTTTTGATGTTACATGATTTTGAATTTGATAAAAGTTATTGAAATAGATATTAGACATTATTTCTCGTGGGAACAATAAACTCGAAAGTCACTAATTTCTATTACTTGTTAACGATTTCGTACGCTTGCAAATTTCAACGTAACAAGTTTTTAATCTCCAAACTAGAATTTTTGTATATTCTCAAGCAAAACTAAAACCCAACTATAGAACAAACATACGAAAAATATTTAGCTAGCTAATCTGACATTTTATCTCAAAATTCAAATCATGACATTAAATCTAAGTACAACTTCAAAATTATAATATAGAAATCAAAATCTACTTTTCCACATGACGTGTCTGTGTGAATAATTAATCATAGTATCATGAATTCACAAATTGTTCCATTCCCAATCTTTAATAGTCAAATATGTTCTTATCCTCACTTGTGAAATTTACAAATCCCCAAACTTATTTTTTCGCTCTTTTCAAGTGTGTGATATAAGGTTAAATTTTATATTATCCTCACATATTTAATTTAGATAAATCTCATCAATTGTAGTTCAACATGTCAATAAAACAAGGATTTTCCTTTAATTTTTTATTACTTTAATCTCCAGAACTTAATTAGGCTAATAATCCCTTATCAAAAGTTAAATTTCACTAAATAAGTGTTTGGAACTTAACCAAGGTATTTGATGTGTTTTCTATTTCATGCACTTGCTTTTTCTGATTTTCTACATATTTTTTTCTCAAATTTTTCTCAATACTTTTTATTTTCTTTATTCGCAACATTCTCTCTCTTAAATGTTTCTAAATGAGCCATGTAAAAAGTTTTTGGCCGATGACTCCCAAGTCAGTTGACTTTAAGACAACAAGTTTTAACACCCTTTCAAACTTAATAACATGAGTCACAAAGGCTACGACCAGAAATTTTCAAATAAAATATTTTTTTATGCATTAATTAATGTAATGTCTCTCATTAAACACCTATCTAAGTAAACCGACATATAACTTAAGACTTTTACCCAAATTCATCCTGTTGATCTCAAACAATCCACACAAGATTTTAATTTCGAATTTGTCTAGTGGTACATAATGGGATGTACCGAATGGTGTACACCCTACTCACATCGGTGTGGGACCTATGTGAAATAAAGGATATTTTATTCGAGTGAGTCATTCGTCCATGTGAGTGGGGTGTACACCATTAGGTACACCCCGTTGTACCACTGACAAAACCGTTTAATTTCACACATGAAACTCTCATTTACTTCAACATATTCCTATTATAGTGGAATCCCCCAAACTATTCTAAATTTGGGCTAACGATGAAAAATAT